GATCACAAGTTTGAGGCCAGCCTTAGCAATTTAGCAAGATAAAAAAATAAAAAAGTTAGGAATGGCTCTGTGGTAGAGCGCCCCCAGGTTCAATCTCCCAGTGCCACAGAGAACTAAACCTGGTTTTCCTAAGCAATTTAAGTCATTACCAACTATAGTAAATCCAATTTCTTCCCACTATAAGTGAAAGAGTTCATTTTTTAACTTCTTGGACTCAAAAGTTAAATACTATTAGTTTTATTAGAGTTTAATAGTCCTGGTGCTTAGCTTCCAATTTGTGATGCCCCAATTCTTACAAAGTGTATTTTGCATGAGTGAGCAGTGTTTGTCCTCTTGCACGTGAGATTTTTTCCTGCTAGAGCAAACTTGTTAAATGGATTCACATGTACAAATGGTGGGAAGACTAAGTGACAATATCATGAACACATCTCCTCTGGAATCATAGGTCTCTATGCCTGAGAGGAAAAGTAGCATGTAACTTCCATGAAATAAAAAGGCTTTTATAATGGCAACACTTAAGTTTAGTTTTTTGTACTAGAAAGTACTAAAAACCAACACAACCTCAGGGCTAAAATGTTTGATAGTTTAAATTCTGTTATCTTGTGGCAACAAGATATAAGCAGTCACACTTCCAAAATATTAGAAAGTGTGTCAAATACCCAAATTTCAATGGTTGTCAATTGAGCATAGGAAACAAGAGTCCAATGTTTTTCTCCCCAGTGAAGACAGGGTATCTCATTGTAAAACAGTATTAGTATGTAAATGCAGTCTTCCCCAAGGTACTGCCATTCAACACACAATGAGGGGAATTACAGCCTTACAAGGCCTCCAACCTTCCCTGGCATCCTGGCATCAAAGGACCATCTATCTCCAACTGCTGCTTCTTGCATTTTGGTTTGTAATACAAGACCCCGGGGTTAACATAGAGTATAATTTTTAATTTATAATTAAATAAACGATTTATTTTTATCAGAGAATTCCATTTATAGTCCATTAATTTTATTAAAATAGTTTTAGAAAGTTCTAAGACAGGAGGAATCATTATGGAAGAATTTTGACTTAGTAGTTTTAAAATCAAGACAATGAGGGGCAGGCTTAAAAACTGACTCCTACATCAATGGATTGCTATTATTAATTTGTACTCTTTTCCCAAACTGACTTTTTTTGGGGGAGGGGAAAGGGTGCATTATCACTGAGCTCAGGCCCTTTTGACTTTTTATTTCAAGAAAGGGTCTCACTAAATTGCTGAAGTCCTTGCTAGATGGCAGAGGCTAGCCTTGAACTAGCCTTGAAATTTGGTTATCCTCTTCCTGGTTTAGCCTCCAGCATTGCTGGGATTAAGTCACCCTGCCTGACCCAGAATAAATGATAAACTTTCCATTAAAAAGGTAGACTGGTCTCAGGTAGAACCATGGTAAATTAAATATAGAACTTATTCAGAGAAAGTGAATAGAAACAATTTTAAAACATCAGAACCTTTAAGAGTCTTCTTAAATCAATCTCTCATTCTCACAATACTGATCTTTGCTGAATTTTTTTTTGGGGGGTACTGGGGATTACATTCTGGGCCTCATATATACTAGGCAAGTGCTATGAATCTGAGCTACATATCCAGCCCTTTTTGGTTTTGAGACAGGGTCTTGCCGTTAAGTTGCTCAGGCTGGCTTTGAATTTGTGATTCTCCTGTCTCAACCTGCTGAGTAGGAGTAGCCACCATTCTTGGTGCTCAAAGTATTTTTAAGGCCTTCCGTAGAGCTTCCCTTCATAGCCTACAGCACATCTTTCTTCAAATCCTTAACAGAGACAAATCTAATGGCCTCAGTCCTCAGTTAAATATGGTATTTGGGAAGAGAACAAAAACAATGTACTATTAAATACTTTGAATAAAGTATTCACTAGCTACTCGAAGGTATTCAAATCACCTCTTTGCTTTACAGATATAAGAAGTTTGTTGTTTTGATTCAAGCTTTAAGGATTCTATTTTAGGAAACTCAGGTACAACTGCTATGGAAGAAAGATTAGATACAGAAAGTTTAGGGTTGGGAAAAGGATGATGACCAGATGAGGTTCTCCTTTTGCAAAGGATACTGGAAGAGAAAGACAGCTTAGTAGGGTGGGGGTTGTGGGGGTAGGGAGTATGGCTAAAATGTTTAAGAGGGAAAGATTTACTGAAGTTCAGAGATTATCAAAGGCACTTATCTCAATCATCTAACACATTCTGTATTTTTAGGATCCTAATGGGACCAAGAAAATTAACAACTTTTTTTTTTTTTTTTAATTTAAAGATAGGGTCATCTGGGCTGGGGATGTGGCTCAAGCAGTAGCGCGCTGGCCTGGCATGCCTGGGGCCCGGGTTGGATCCTCAGCACCACATACAAAGATGTTGTGTCCGCCGAAAACTAAATATTAAAAAAAATTCTCTCTCTCTCTCTATCTTAAAAAAAAAAAAAAGATAGGGTCATCTGTAGTCCTTTTTATATTTTGAGGCAGGGTATCTCTAACTTGCTGAGGCTGACCTTCAACTTGTGATCTCCTGCCTTAGTCTCCTCAGTTGCTGGGATTTTTGCCTTTGTGCCCAGCTTGATGTCCATTTTACAGCAATATTGCAATTGATTATTTGCTGTATGTTGCCTCTTCTTCCAATATCCTTGTTTGCTTTTATGGGAGTCTGAACTTGAGTTCCTGGTTTGGAGAATAAGGGAGTGGTAGGAAGAGGGAAAGCAGTGTAGAATGACAGTATGCCCCTTTATATAATTTTGGAGCTGAAAGGGAAACTAGAGGTCAAAGTGATACCAACAGCTTTTAGCAGAGGAAACTATATGGTTAAAGGACAATTAGGCTTCAAAGGTAGAAGTAGGTGCGGTATATGCAAATTTAGTAAATCATTAAACCCTGGGTAGCAACCTTTGTTCTCCTGCTGAGAACAGGGTCACAGCTAAAGTTTTTCTGGTAGAGAAGGGATTTCTAAAAAATCACCCTCAGAATCAGGCTGCCAGTACAAGAGCAGAGGATAGGGTTGAGGCAGACAAAAGATCTAGCCCAACCTCCTTCATGCTTATTAGCCAATCCACCTCTAGCAAGACTTCGCCTCTCTGGATCCTTTATTTTACCTAATTTTTTTTTTTTTTGAACAACAACAAAAAAGGGTGGTTTTGTCCCTTTCATTTTAGGACACTTTAAAACACATACTGTGCAATGAACTGAAAGTGGGGGCGGGAAAGAAAGCTTTCATTTATTTGAAAAAAAAAATCATCAACCTGACTACAGAAACCAAATCTACACACATCCAAAAATTGAAACTACAGAATACTTCGAGGATTACTAAACTGTAACTGACTGACTCATCTCTCTTCTTCACCTAGTTATCTTTTCCTTCAGCTCAAATCTGGTACTAGCCAGGACCAGTACACACCCCTGGAGCTGTTTCATTCCATTGGCTGGCAGGCCTTCTGCAGTCTACACCCTTTAATGTCAGGACACCCAGTGTTTATTTGTCAGAGACGTTCTACGGACCTATTTTTTTTGAGGGGCGGGCGGTACAAAACAAAGCGTAAAAATAACTTCACAAGCGCTTAGTAATATCCTTTGGTTAATAAAACTGTCTAGATTTCGAACCTTGAAGACTAGTCATTTTCTATTTTCCTTTTTCATCTGTCACTGCTGCAAAAAAAAAAAAA